CCGCTTGAAATGTTGTCGGATTCCTTGATATTACATATTTCTAAAGATTCGACTCCAATCCCCAGATATACTTTCTCACCCTGCTGTTTTTAGATATTATATCGGCTTCAGCAAACCTAGATTGTTCCATGAAAACTTCTGTATACTGGCATACTGACATGTTTCCTTGTTCAAGACGAAGGAAATAATCTTCCAACTTTCTTACTGCAGCTTCAGGACAATACTGCATTTTAAACTTAACCACAAATTCTTCCCAAATCATGGTTTTCAAAATGTTCGGATCTGAACTGGACAGGACTTCCCACCAGTATAAAGCACTTGATTTCAAACGTGACACATCAAACGTAACTTTATCCTCTTCTGCACTTTTACTGATTTGCAGACTCAACTCTATCTCCTTAAGCCAACACATAGCTTTAACAGGATCACGCTCACCAGAAAACTTAGGAGGATTACAAGCAAGAAACATTTTGATATCTCCTCCTTTTTGTACTGAGGATGAAGTAAGGGGTACAAATGTACCAGTCACCGGTGTACTAGCTCCTGCTTCCTCCTGATAATCGGAATTTCTTACCACTTCTACATTATTTTGGGTTGTACGTCCCAACAAATTTACCAGACTTTCTTGGAACTTTCCCAACTCTGTTGCCAATATTTCTTTGGTAATAAATCCAGAATCAGGAACATTATGTCCACCCCTTGTTCTTCCTCCTCCATGACCAGACATTGAACTTTCTTGAGCCGACAGTTCATGTTCTTGTCTAATACCTCTACCTCTTCCTCGACCCCTACTACGACTTCGCGTTTCTATCATCATCACATTCTCCGGTTCCTCTCCTTGTATTACACTTCTTCTTCCCCGACCTCTTCCATAACCAGTAGAGGCCCTTTCCGATTGATTGGGATTATCTGTCATTTCTCAGTATATGACTTTTTCTATCACATTTAAACACACATGATTATTCTCATAATCACAATATAATAACACATTTATCCTCATGTCTATTCATAATTCAGATTATATCAATCATATATAATCTATCTTTCTCATAATAGGTTCAGCTATAACATATTCTCATGTTCATAGACCCAGTGAAACCTATTATCATAACTTTCCACACCTCTAGTTTAAGTCTAAGTATCTCGCAAATACCCAGATCCCTTAAACTAAGGCTCTGATACCAACTGAAACAACCCTCATATTCCATATACATATAATTCACATCATCATACTCATAATACTAAAAATAGTATTATTACAAAAACATGGACTAACAAAATGTATCTTTAATACATATATGAATAAACTAATATCATCATTTAAACTTTTCCCTTGCCTTTATCTTGCAAAKTACGCTGACCTGCAAAAACAGGTTAGACCAACAACTGAGCGTTAGACCAAAAGGTCTAGTGAGTGTATAATTCTCAACAAACAATATACATTCCAAACAATCAGTTCAGAATCAAACCTGTTTCTGATACATAATCTTATTCATGTATCTCACTCTCGCGGTTACACCGCCGTTACATCTCTGTCGCGGTTACACCGCCGTTACATGTCTCTCGCGGTTACACCGCCGTTACATGTCTCTCGCGGTTACACCGCCATTACATCTCATAAATACTTCAACATATTAGCCGGATTAGAAATCCAGTCAGCCTTGTCCGGATAAGGAATCCGGATAAATACTTAGAATATAAAAAGTTATATCATATCCGGTCAACAATCCGGATAACACCTTGTATAAGCTTTGTCCGGTTAACACTTAGAATATAGTCAATATCTTTGTCCGGATTACAAATCCAGACAATACTCCACTTACAATGTTAACCGGTTTAAAAATAGTCCGGTCAATACATCGCACAACCCTTGACCGGTTTATCTGGACACCTCTTGAGTGGTTTAGAAGCAAACCGGTCACCTCTTACACGGTTTAAGGTAAATCCGATTAATACTTGAACGGTTTATTTGTTCGGATAACAATCCAGACACCACATGAACGGTTTAATAACATATCCATACAATATGAACTATAAACCAATAATAACCAGTTCTAATAATTACWRAATTGTATGCAAACAACTTTATACTCAAAGCTTTAATACACTCACCTTATAAAAGATTTTGAACGGATTGAATCTGCAAGATATCAATCTTCACTTTTACAATTGCTTTTGCTCTCCAGATGGTTTTTCAGCAAGAACTTCTAAAAGTCAAAAAAATTTCCTCCCCTTTTCACATACACTTGCTATAAATAGCAAGTGTATGGCCGACTCAAAAATGTCGGCTAATCCCACATATTCACACCAAAACATATATATATATATACATATATATATATATATATATATTTTAATATAAACATAAAGATTTAAAATTTTAAAACCAATAAAATAACCCAGATATTACAATAGCGGTAGTGAATTCTCCTCGAGGAGAACCACAAGGATCCGCTGGAAGTCCTTCCCCGACCAACATCAACCAAGTCATGAATGAAGGCGTCCCTGGAATGGGGACTCAATCTGGCCCATGTGTTGAGCCAGAGGTTACACAACCAACATATTTCACAAGGGAAGAGTTCCATTCCCTTTTGACCTCTATGCGGTGCTCCTTGGAAGAGCTAAAACTCATCATGGTCCGTGTAGAGCTGTCTCCTTCTGCACCTGCTCTGGATGAGATACGAGCATCCTTGTCAGTATTAAGAGCTGAGTATTCGATGAATGCTTCTCGTCTCGATACTTTAACGGAATTGACGACACGAAATGCAGAGGCCTTGTAAGAGGTCATAGCATCCATACAGAGGGGTGAGGCGTCCACATCTCATGACGCCCAGTCAATCATTCCTCTTAGCGTACCTATGGATTATGTCACTAAGAGCGCAATGAATGCTCTGGGTGACAGACTTCTGTAGAAGGTGGCGAGCTTCACATCCGATTTCAACAACAAAGCCACAGAAGCAGCGGAGGCCATCAAAGTCTCTCTAGCCAAGTTCAAATACCACTCGGACGTCGAGGTTCGACGGGTTGGTGATGCAGTCGAAGATCTCCTCAAAGTCTTTGAGGAGAGGATCAAGTCTATGCCTCAAGTAGAGGAGCAGAGGCGAAAAAGACGAATGGATCCCTCTCCATGTGCTGAGCCATTGAAGAGGAGACGACTTGACGATGATGAGGACCCAGACCAGTCTGGTCCTCAAAATCGGCCAGAGGGGGAGAACTATTCAACAGCCATTCCAAGTGCTACACCTATGGCTTCCCCCTCTGCACCAACGTCCTCTGCCCCACACCAACCAACGCAAGATCCTTCAAGGCAGAGGGCATAGAGCCAACCAGCGCCAGAACATGTAGAGGCACTTCGCAAAGGAAAGATGCCCATGGCATCTCAAGTAGAGCCAGCCGGGCTACAAAAGAATACATAAATGATAGATCTTCTATCTGTCTACGCATCTTCTGATTCAGAACTGGATCCATCTTCATCAACAGAATACGCCATGGACACAGCTGCTCCAATAAGAGGACAAGAAGAAGAGGTGGTAGTTGTGAATGTGGCTGATCCATCACTTTTACACATTCCAGTTGTCGTTCCTCTAGAAGGTGTTATTGTTACTATTCCTCCACCACAACAACATACACACAGAGCTAGGGTCCCTGCTCAAGGGACCAGGGTTGTCACACTAGCTATGAGGTAGCGGGTTCCTGTCATACCCACCAGAGCAGACTTAGAAGGCGCAAGTAGCAGGCCAAAACGAAAGCATCCTCTGATCGTGTCCAAAAGATCAAGGAAAACATGGATGCTATGTTTACGCTAACACCTCTTGATAAACCAATTAAGGACAAAGCAGACAGCAAGGATATCTACCAGTTCCTCTACAACCTAAGAGAAGAGACACCGGTCCAAAAGATCTGTCTTCATCCTATGGCTCAAGAGCATATCAGGCAGAGATTCCTAGATCGCTACACTCATCCCATGGAATCAAGCAAGTCATCGACATCAAGAAGTGTACCTTCACGCATAACCAAATTATCTTCCATTAGTATATGGTGGAGAGTTCTCGCGGACAGATCTGTAAGTTCATAGACTGTGATCTTATCAATCTGAATCCGTGGGATCTTCTTTCTCTATTTTACTTCACGGATCACACGAAGGACAAGGGGTTCAAATACGCTATTGCCAACTCTGCCATACGCCAAACAATGACAGGCCTGCTCGACTTCAGATGCAAGTTTGATTTTCAACTAGCTCTGGATCAAGGAGTGGATCAATTGACTGTTGCTGCACTAAATGAAGATCTGCAGGGCCTCAATAGCATCCCCTCTTGGACTGTATTGGTGGAACCAGAAGTGGGAGTGGTGTTTCGAAACGCGCAATAAAAGAAGATCTTTTTTTAAGACAACCAAAACTACAAGTACTCTAACTCTACTCTGCGCAACATAAGAGACAATCTAGTCAGGAGCAGAGACATCTCCCCAGGAGCAAAGGATCGAGCAAAAATCATTCTAAGGTCGATATGCAATATGCTAGAGTTTCGTGAACTTCTTAGGAAGTTCATTAGACTTCAAAATGTTTAGACCTCTTATCTTTTGTAAGTACTTTTCTATCTTTGATTTGATGTAATTTCCATTCCAATCGTATTGTACTTTTTTAGATAGTAAATGTAATTTAGAGGTTCCTTTTAACCTCTTGCTTCAATTAGACTTTTTGCTTGTAATTCAAATAAAAGTCTGCCTTATTTACACTTAGGGAGAGATTGTTAGACCCCAACTTGTGAAAGTGTAAGTAAGAAGTCTCTTACTCTAGTCAATAGGACTTAGTCTAGTGAAGCGGTCTAGACTAAGAGCTCTCATGCAGAAGATCAAGAACCAAAACTCTTACTCAAGAGTGAAGGTTCCATTCATACAGAGCCCGTGCTCAATGCCCATGGACGATCAAGCCTTGTGCACCAAAAAGCATAAGCGCTTGACACCAAGTTACAACTCCAAGACCCAGAGCCTCTGCATATGCAGAGCCTCTACATAGTACATGCAGAGCTTCTGGCTACCTTCTCCATGGAACGCGCGTGTGTTAGCCTAGACATTCTTGCAAGCGTCTAACAGATTTAAGGTGGCTTGACCAAGTCTGCTCTGCTATTCAATGGAAGTCAAAGATAAGGATGCAGACCAGTCAGCTCAGAGTTTCACGCCTATTTTATAGCATAGTTTGTTAGACCTAGGCGTATATAAGGAGGCTTTCGCCTCAGGTTTAAATTACCTGAAGGAACCGACTTATACTATACGCGTATTCTGTGAGATTACGTTTTGCTTCAATTGTTCATCGTTTCATCAATAAAGGCATTCGGCATATTCAAGTTTACTCATTGTTTTTACTATCATCTTGAATATTTTGTTTAATCATTCAAGTTACACTGTTTGTGTTTAATTCATATCTTTTATAAACTATGTTTCTACCAATTAAGAGTATCTGGTTCAACAATAATTAATCCATTGTTTTGTATTTTTAGCATCTTGATGCATCGAACACGTATTTTCTCCGCAAGAGGCAACCGACAGACCGTTGGACCATCATGCGGCCTTGTTGGATACCAAGTTTAGCCAACCCAAGTCTTGGCCCTGTGGATCAGAAGGTGTTCTGCGATGGTACATGCGAACCATATCCGTCATGAGGGAACATCGACCGTGTCGGTAGAATCACACAACAATTTTGTTATATATAGAAATATTTTATATATCAATTCCTATTCGCAACTTATTTTTTCAGGTATTCATCCCAATAAACATACCAAATGCTCATTGGGTGACCGAGGAGCTCGAACTAAGATCATGGCGTTTGACTATATACGATACTTGTCTGTCGGAGATGTTCAAGCAACAAATCAATGGTATCACCTTTGTGTTAAAGAAGTTCCTTCCCGAATTCCTATTCGAAATACGATATTATATAGGGTTTAGAGAGCCAATCAAATCACCGAATCTAAGAGTATTTTATTCAGAAGACGTGCCTCGACAATCTGTAGCGCTCGGCGATTGTGGGGTGTTCCATTGCATGTTATTGAGCAGTTGTCCGAAGGACAAGAGGTAAATTGTGAGACGCCGACTGACCTTCATGTGATGATGTTTCGTTCACGTATGGCATCTATCTTGTATTCAACGCGTTTATCTTAGGTGCAATAAAAATTTTATTTATTGTAAATGATATTGTTTGCGCTATTTTTTTTAAATGGTCTTCGCTAATATTAAACCGTAAATGACAATTATCCTACAATCGTCTTGATGAACAAAAACATTATAATCACTAAAAAAGAAATCCAACTTATCACCAACATCGTCTTCAACCGGCGAGCTTGTAAAACAGCATGAAAAAGTGACGCTTCAAGATTATTTTTTCATCTTAATAACCCTTGAATAATTAGCACAGATCTAGGATACATGGGTGGATCAAGCCAATCAATAAATCCAAAGTTTCTTCCCTACAAAAAAGTAAACACATATATATAAAACACAATTATATACGAAGGTTTCATATACGAAAACACTCAGTAGATAATGAACAACAAAAGAATTAACGGTCTGAGTTGTGATCGGTCCATGACGTTCTGATGATTGCATCAGCGCCACAGTTGTCTCACCATTTTTTATCTACTGAGTTGAGAGTCAATGAATAATTGATGGTGGAACAAGTTTATAATGGAAAACAAGGTTATTTATAGGGAAACATAATGGGACTTGTCACATCATCATCATTTCAGTACCATAAATTATAAAAGATCGAACTTGGAATATTGACAACAATATGTTTTTGACCCGATACTACTAAATTTTATCATGCGGATAGAGTGATTTAGTTCTTTCTATTCCTTTCGTGTTTTTTTTCAATGTCCTCTTCATTCCACCTAATGTTTTTTCCAGTCTCCCCGCATGCAAAATCGAACCATGCTTCATGGTTCAGTTTTTCCACCTCTTTGATTTTCTTTCTTGTATTAGCAATCCAGCATTGTTGTTGCTTAATCTGTTGTTTTGCATCAGCAATCCATCTCGTCTGCTCGTTCATCTCATGTTCAATATTCTTTCTTTTTGAACAAAGGTCCGCATGTTGTTCATGTAGTATATCCAATTTCTGTTGGTAGTCCTTGATAGCCTCCGTCGCATCATCGGGCATTTTTTGTGGTAGATGACTTCTCCACCATTCTTGTCCCAGCCTCTCCCACTCCTTGTTCGTCCTTGGACGTTTAAAATTAAAACTGGAAGAGCTTTCGTCCATTGTTATAAAGAAAATAGAAAAAGGTAGCAAGTAATATGTCTTCTAACGTCAACCCATTAAATAGGGACATTTGACACGAAAAAAGTCGTGAATTTTTTTTTTTGCAAAAAAACGTGAAAAAAAATTAAAAAATGGATCGCCCCCGGGTGACATGGATCGCCCCTGAGGGTAGATTTACCAAAATCGAGGCAAATAGGGGGTGATAGTACATTGGTAGGGTTATAGGTTAGGATTTTTTAGGACGAATCTTGTAAGCTTTATAGACGATTAATGTCAGAGACGATTTAACAAGTCCTGCCAAGTTCATGACCGGATTTGACAACACCATGCCAGCTATTAACTCGTAAGGGACGATAGTGCATTGGTAGGGTTATAGGTCAGGGTTTCAAGATGAATCTTCTAAGCTTTATGTCAGAGACGATTTAACAAATCCTGTCAGGTTCATGACTAGATTTTTTAATAATTTTTTTGTACTTTATGCATTTTCTAAGCATTTTTTTCCTACTTAAAAACCAATCCAGATTATATTTTCTAAATCAAAATTGTAGGTTGGTATCATATGAGTCTATTAGTTTTGGAATCGTATCATTTGGATCATCCATCTATTTTATATGAATTTTACAAAACTGCAGATTAATCACGAATAGAGTGCAAACAGCCTAAAAAACAGACTGGGTCGAGCCACTTAGATTCATAACTGGATTTTCGTTCGTTCATGAAAGTTGTAGTATACAGTAATATTTTTCTAACTGCAAAATACGGACTTATTATAACTTACGGTTTGTGAGTTATACACTGTCAAAATATGAGAGTTGTATTGTCGGTAAAATTCGATGCCACAATTCCCGACTAAATTTTATGAACCAACTTCCATGATTCGTTACATTTATATGATATAAACATATTTTACCATCCTAAACAGTAAAACAAGTCCAAAAGGGAAAAGAAAATGGATCGCCCCCAGGTGACGTATCGCCCCCGAACGTAGATTCACCAAAATCGAGGCAAATAAGGGGGCGATAGTACATTGGTAGGGTTATAAGTCAAGGTTTAAGGATGAATCTTGTA